GAGTGAAATAGTCACGAAAGAGAGCAGAGAGTTAGTTGAACAATCGTAGTTGGACTGTGACAGTGAGTGAGAGAGAAATTGTATTTGTGAAAGAGAGATAATAGCCCGTGCGCTATCTATCTATACGTAATCGTGACCATTGTGAACCTTTTAATTTTGTTATATATCTTTGGTAAATTTTATGTTTTGTTTGAATATACATTTTTGTTACTTCGAACATTTGTGACTTGTCGAGGACTACATTTTGGAGGCGAATTCTCGACAGTTTTAACACTAACTACTTTTTTATACAACCGAGTTAACTACGTGATTAAAGTTAATCGCTATTTAACTACAAAATAGTGATTAAAAAAGTGATTAAGAGGTTTATACAACCAGCCCCAGAATTAACTCTTTTGAATTTAAAGTGTATGCATGTAAACTGAGTTCAAAATTTTATTGATGCTACTTGATCTCGCTTTATGGCATTTAAGTTTCGTGACCCCACTGGGACGCTGTCCCTGGCAAGAACCAATCACAAATTTTGACTAATCGAACCTTTTATTTGTATATATGTCTTCTTTAGACTCATCATGAAAAATCTTATTGCCATTACCATGCTTGTGATTATATCTGTAATCAGCCAATCAACTGAAGGTAATTTATAACATTGATTATTGGAAATCCAGTTTCACGTTTCATTTCGCTTGTATTTTCACTACTAGCGATACGACATGAATCACTATATACAGGGGCGGACATAACAATTTTGACTGGGAGGGTGTAATCACGAAATGAGACCGACTCACCACTGAAATGTGAATCCAGACCGACTCTTGGTGAGTTGGTTTGTTGCAATAAAATTGCGTACAAAGCATGGAAATTGATGGCATTTATTAGGAATTTTGCAAGAACACGTACAGTTTGCTGTGAAACGTTATATTTTTATTAAATGTCCGCGCTTAGTCAGGTTTGACCACGGGTTAGCGATTTCGTCAAGATCGATCGTGTCTGTTAAATTGCGCCAGCTCACACGCAAAGAGTCAAGAGTTCACCGAGGCGTTCCTGGTTCATTACTGAACGCATAACAGTTTTCACTGATTTCAGCTATAAAAAGCTGCGCTGATCGGCTGATGCGGATGTTAGAGGAACTGTCAGGCGCGTAACTATAGGATTTTTGATTGACCGATACACTTCTGCGGGGGTCTGGGGTATGCTCCCCCAGAATATATTTGATTTTCTAAGGCTTAGAAACGCTATTTCCATGTATTGTGGGAGCAGTTCAAACGAAATATCAATTTCATAAACAGTGACACAATGACTATAATTTTATACTGTAGTTTTCCCAAAATCCCGAGGCTAAGAATTACAAATATTTTTGGTCGAACATCATTGATCAGGTGCATAATAAAAAAGTGTTTGTGCTCAATTGTTGTAATATTTGGGCGCTGGCCCGCACTTTTGTTATTGGGGTACTTGTGCACCCATACAGCCTACCATTTCTTACGTCACTAGCTGTAGGGCAAGACTGAATAATGCTTCTTTACATAGAGAGAACTATACAGTCTGTCATTGAACTTGAACTCGATTGACTCATATACCTAGTTATGGGCCTGACTGTAAGCAACAATTGGAAACATCGCCTAGTCAGTGGAAACAATTTTTCGCTCCGTGATTTCAGATAAACCAGTGCGTCGTTCACTGATCGAATTTTTTGATTGCAGTATAGGTACATAAAACTCTTTGGTAACAAAATGCATATGCATATCGTGTTACATGTGAACATACTTCCTAATATAACTCGGCTAGAAATTCGTTTTTGCACGTTACATCTTAAAAATATAGTTCAGGGACCGGAGAAATATTGTAACTAATGTTAACTATTTTGATCGAGATTCAATCATCGCATTTTGGAGTCTGATTTTGGGGGTTTGAAATTTTCGCTAATATAGAATATCACCCGTGAATGACCTTGCAGAACCTAAATTCCAAATAAAAGTGCCAACACATAATCGTGCACAAAGATATCTCCATGTTTGGAAAGTAAATGGAAACTTCATCTCTTTGCGCGTGTTTTGAATGATAATTCGTTCATAAACTCGCGAAATAAGTACGTAATATTTCTTCACATTACTTTTGAGCTGTTTGATCCGTTTGAACAAATTTCCAACTCAATACTCAATAGTCTATCTCGAGTTTTGAAAAGATTTAATTTGCTTCGCAAAGCACTGCATATAAACAAACGCATAATTTTGAGACCGACTGCACGTAGTTTGAGACCGACTGGATCATTTCTCTGGGGGTGGGGGGGGGGGGGGAACCACCCTAGACCATGTCCCTAGACCATGCACTCGAAAGAGTTTCTTTAGCCCCCTCCCCAACTAAACCAATCGTCCGTCGCCCATGATTAACTGAATATACAAAATCAATCAGCGTGCAAAGCTTCGAGTTTGAGTTCTAACACTTCTTCCCGTCGGAATGTATATAGAACGTTATGTACGTAGAACATTGGAACAACAAGTTCTTTGTGACGATAAGATCTATCTGTGAAGACATTCTCTTTTCATTTCAGCACAATCTTGGTGTGTTGACAAAAGCAGCAACAGTATAATCAATTCAAATACTGATTATAATCATTCCAACTTTATTTACAGTATTTACTCTATTTAACTCCCAGCTTCTTTTTGCCCCTCCTCTTCTAATTAGCTAGCTCCCAATCCAGCAACGCTGAAACAAAAATAAGCCCCTACCCTCTATTTCACCTCGTTAAAACTATCGCTTTTATACTGGTCTTTTGCAGCATATTTATGTCGTCTTTGCGTGTATTTTTGTCACTCTGAATAAGTCCATATAATAAACAGAACATTAAACGGTTGCGAGAAGATATGGATTTATATTCTCGTGTCAAACAGAAAATTGATCTCCTCGATCACTCCTCACAACCGTCTAATATCCTCTATTTATTTAATACTATAGCCTAGATAAACTGCATATAATTCCACAGCTAGCTTGTTTTGTATTTAATTATAGGTGCTGTTGACAACTGCAAGACTTTGGTGACTCAATGTCTTATAAGTAGCGGTTTTGATGCCTGTACTTCACGCAACTGTGTCTTAGGTGTTGCAATAAATTTGGCACAATGTCCAAGAAATTCTCCTTATCGCACCACGATGGGAAGATTGATACAGTCATTGTCAAGATCCTGTTCCACAAGTACGCTTCTCAAGAATCTAGGATGAGAAGCTCGGCCCTCTCATGGTATGTACGCAAATCATCCACCTTTATAATATTCTCTAGATTTATGATCACCTATAGCCTTCGTGTCAAACTAGACTATGAACTAAAACTTTGAAACATCTATAAGCGGCAGTAACTTAAATTCGGCGGGTGGGGAGATAAATTAACCAAATACGTAAAAAAATTTTTTGGGCAAAAATACATTCAAATCATGTTCAGTGAGAACAAAAAACCTATAGAACTAGAACTTGAGCAGAAGCCCGGTTCGAGCAATTTGAAGATATTACTAATCTAGTATACGTCGTTTTCTGACCATCAGAATTTTGTAAAATCGTCCTCCAAAGTGCATGGATGAAGTGATGTTTCAGATATTTCTTCGGGAAGCATGCTCGATGATGCATGCCCCATAGCTTCAATCTCGTCTAGGGTCTCGTACCTATTGCACTTGATACTTCTGGCTTCGCAACATTACCCTCATATACACACGGGACCAGGTCGACTAGGAAGAACACTGTAGCATATAGGCTTGAGAATAAGGAGGGTACCTTCGACGCTATCCCTGCTGACGCTCAGACATTTTCCACATTTTCCCATTCTTTTATGACTAAACCCTTTTAATTTTTGGGCAACGGAAAACAGACTCCCCCTCCCCCGCTGAGAACCTGTAGTAGCATGGTTTGTTTTTTTGAAAGAAATTATATCAGCAGCGATTATCAAGAGTTGAAGTGGTGATTGGGGGAGGGGAAGTTTGAGGAGAAGACAAAAAGATAATGTGCTTTTAGGCAGTGATTTTAGTCTGCCGATTTTTAAAATTGTCGCTTTACCAGTCGATGAAAATCGGCATGTACCGAACACGTACTACAATTATAAATTAATTAGTAACTTCATGATTACCATAGCATAAAATTATATCAAAACATGCGATCACGGCATGGATTTTGACTGATTGAGATAACCAATAAAAATCGGAATACGCAGCTCATGCAATAAATTGATAAGGCCGGAACGGTATCAAAACAATCTGATCTAACTGTCCGATTAAAATCGGGCGACTAAAATTGCACGCTGTGCGCCAGGCTTAACAGGCAGATGGACTGCCTGTTGTAGTTTGGTCCTGTTAACTGGTTTCCTATATAATTCAAATTAGTTTGGTATCCTTAATCTTGGCAAATTAGCAACAATTATACAGCTGTATTTTTTGTTTTAGGAAAAGAAATATTTGAAGTGCTAATGGGGAAGATCATATATGTTAGACAGTTGATTGTATATAGTTGGCTGAATATCGTAATGTTAATATTATAGTGGGTTAATCCAAATAAATTGGAAAAGTTCAAAAAGTGTGCTATCTGGCTACTTACATGTTGTGTTGACGTTGCTTCCATGTTGCGTTAACGTGGTTTTTCCACTACCGCGCATTAAATGACCGACCAGCTAAAATATAAATATTTGTTATAACTAGAAATACATGCATGCAACAACCCCTCGCCTATATTCTCCAAACATTGTTTCAACATGAAGTATTCGTAATTATGCCAACACTGAACGCAGGCTCGTGTTGCTCACGTCATGTTAGTCATGGCAACACAATAATTGTTTTTTAAATTTTTTGTACAAACCTGCAAAAGATAGATGAAACTTGAACACTTTTAAATACAGAACTATCAATTTCTAAACTATGAAAAGTAGGTATATTATTTTGGTTTCTATGGGCTTTATTTTAATGTAAATTCGAAACGAAACCCTACGTTTAAAAAACGTTTTTAAATATGAATTGCCTCAAATTAACGGCTTTTTGCCGATATTAATCTCTTCAACTTATTACTTGCACTTTGAAATGAAATAAATGTAATTCGTACAGGACGCTAATGAAAATAATTTGCTTTCCTTTTTATCATGAACGTACTTCTACAAAAGTAAATTTAACTAAGAAACGTTCCCTTACAATGCATAGGAAAGATTTGAACAACAAGAACAAAGTCTATAATCAAATACAAAGTCACTGCTCTATAGGTTATACTTTATGATTTCTCATACTAAATCAATTTTTTAAATGTGTACGTTTAAAAATGGAAAAATGTTTGACAATTTGTTATGTGAAACGATTTTCCAAGCTTTCTTACATGTATTTTTTATATTTCCCCCTTCTTCATTCCTGGCAAACAGCCATATTTTGAGATCAGTGCGATGACCACCCATACACCCATGAACCGCGCCCGCGATATTTGATGAACGTTAGACTTCGCTAGTGCGTTCCTTTCCCCTGGTGTAAATAGCCGGGCGGAATTAGTACCTTAGCCCGGGGCTTACGCCCGGAACGTGGTGGTGCTTGACGCACCAAGGTAAATAATTTTTAGCATAAAAACCGCAAGCTGGTACTTGCATGTGCTACTGATCAAACTTGTTTTCTAAGGAACGCAAGTATAGTGCAGGAGGAGCACATGCGTCAAGTTCTAAGAAAAATTTAGAACTGCACAAATGAGCCATTTCAACAAGGGGCTCATGTCGTGTTGTATGTTTGAATAGCTAGGTTAGGGCTCCGGAAGCATTCTTGCCCAGATGATTTTGAATTTTACAAATCCAGAATGGTCATTTCTTGCACGTTCAGTGTCAAATTGATGTTGTTTTCGGGCTTAATTAAATATCTGTATGATTAATGCTTAATTGATATCTATATAATTTTCATATAAAACTCCAAAACTTAATTTTAATTAGGGCTGCGCATTCTAAGTCTTAAAACTACTCATTTTACATTTAGAACTGCCTATTTTGGAAAATAGGAGGCCCAAGCTAGCAGAGATATTGATAGTTCCTGGAGGACCATCATGCTTTATGATTGCGCTCTTGTCAAAAATAGATACGCTACGCGTACATGAATCTACGAAAAGCGGCCAATCGACAACTTTAAAAAGTGACTATGGCCGCCATTTGCAAGCACCAGCTAGTCTAGAACATAATCAGAAAATAATATATGCTTGCATAAACAGGTCATGTATATGCCAGTAATTTGAGCTAAAACGGTTATTCCAGATTAAAATATTTACAATTCTAATTGTAGGACGATACTTAGTTGCACACTTATTATAAACAATAATCCATCGTGGTAAAAACCCACAGTAAGGCCACATGAAAAATAGGTGGTTAGCGTCCTCGCCCGCCCGCAAAAAAGACCCCGCTCAGGATTTTTCAGAATTTTTTATTTCATTTTTATTTAAAAAAAACAACTTTTATTGACCAACGTGCTTTAATATATGTAGTATTTCTATAGTCAATGGTGTTAATAAATTTAAATGCAAGATATTGACTTCAAATGTAGTAAATGTGACTTCCAATGTAGAAAAATATGAATCAAATTTTGAAATATCTGTAGTACTGCGGAGACAAAACCAAGGCGTTAAAATTTAGTATAAATTAAAAAACCCGCCCGCCCACTTTTTGGCAAAAGCTAAGGACGCTAACTAACTATTTCTTTTATGTGGCCTAACTGTGTCTTATAAGCGTGCACAATCCGAACGCGTTTTTCGCGTGACGAATTCGTACACGCCACAAGAGACTCCTGCCCACTGACCTATATAACTCCAAAGCTCCTGCCGTGAAGCACGATATTATGAAACACATCAATATACAATTGACTAATAAAGTATTTTCAATTGTTCGTAAATGATATGTTGAAAAGTACAATATATAGTTAAACGTTAAAAGAGTCACGTATAAATACATCACTGTTGCACTTTTATTGTGTGATTGCCAGTTTCACTCGAAACCTTAGGCTTAGTGCCTTACTTCTTCACTGGTTGTTACTTTAAAACTGATAAGTCTGTAGCTCATATTTTACCAAATTACGCCTTCATTCGAGCGCCAAAACGCATTCAAATGCCTGTTAAGTGTCCAGGTGACTCCAACATGACTCCAAGACGCTTCGAAAACCAATACGTACTATTTCGTAAACTTGTTGCTGAAAAATGTACAGCAACCATGCTACTACAAAACAGACACGTTGTTCCAAGATTAATTTACCTTGATTTGCTTCATTTTCATCCACAAGTCATCATATTTCAATGCGTGAATAAATGTAAATCATAACTTAAATGAATCCCTCTTTACCGCCATATTGGATTGTCTCGCGACCAAGCAGTGATTTGTAATTACGTAATTTTTGGTAATACTGGTCGCTGATTGGCTAAGTTAACAGTGAACAGTGAACAGCTAACACGTTGATAGCATATAATCTACTTCGTAGGTTCAAAAAGAGTATTAAGGTAACGATGGTGTGATCTTGTCACAATCGGGGTATCATATTTGACCGCTCGATCAATGGTAATTTTAATAATTGCGCAATACGTCCATAAAAATAAATTTGCTGACTTTTATATTTTACATGCGAATGAGCGAAAAGAGCTTTTCGAATCCCAAACCATGTAAAGGCTTAGAAAACGCCAGGGACGCCGGAAAGTCGATAATTGGGGGGGGGCAGATATTCATATATTCATGTTCTGCATCATTTCTTTCCTTTGAAAGCGATTGTTTTTACAGCCTGTGAACACGAAGATATGAATATCTGCTCCACTCCCCCCCCCCAATTAACGACTTTCCGGCGTCCCTGGAAAACGCACTAGTGAAGTTGTCTGTCACTGTTCCGAAAAGCTGCAACTGCATGCCTGTTCAAATACCATCTAAACTTCCACCTGTATGTCTCCCTCCACTGCTCCGTATACTACAGTCGTAGAGAGCTTAAATATGAGTATAAATAAAATGCCAAAGTTGCTATGAATTCTAAAGTAATAATGACACTAAATTGAAACTGATTCAATTAAGTAAGTTGGTTACTTTTGAAATTTTTGTACTTAAATCTCAAGCATGACTATATATTGCCATTCCAATGCGTGCATATTGTAGTTGTGCTAACATTTTTTTCAGATCGAATGTGGGTCCTGCGAACGAGTCCGCGCTTTATTAATTAAATGCAAAATCCGCTTACACGCAAAAATCGAGTTGGTAAAGAAATTACAAATATTATAAGCAGCAGCGTGTGTAATTTTTAATACGCACAATTATCACTTTTAGTGTTCTACTGCGAATAAGTCACGCTGGCAAAGACCGTTCGAGTTTAGATCGCTTTTCCTCTTGTATTAGAATGCGGTCAGATAACTTTATTCTCAGTAGTGCATGAAAATTCTGGCCGAAAGCAAGTGATTTTTATCTTCGTGTATTTTCCAATCAAACGAACAAAATACAGAAAACTTGAGTTCGTTCATTTTTAGCGGGTAGTGTTAATAGGAAGTTTAAGTTTCACGTTTGCGGCAACGGCAAACGGGCATAGTAGAATTTTGTTGGCAGAACTTTTGCTTAACTTCTTCACTTCATCTTCTCGTTCTTATCTCAAAAGAATCATCATATACATTACACTTACAGCCTTAAAGGTACAGTTCAGCCTTTTGAACGATGGTTTTTAAGGCGCACTTGAGCCCTTTTAATTGAAAAAACTAACTAGGAAAATCAATTAAGCATTATTCAAAATCAGTAAACTCGATGTTTTTAACAATATAAATTTAAATGTTTTAAAATGTTAAAAACATTAAGTTTGGTGATCTTGAATTATGCTTAATTAATTGATTTTCCTAGTTAGTTTTTTCAATTAAAAAGGCTCAAATGCGCCTTAAAAACCATCGTTCAGCAGGCTGAACTGTGCCTTTAAAATAGCAAGTTGAATTCCCATCCTTTGGCGTAAATTGTTTCTTTCCCTGGCGTTTGCCATTTGATAGCCTGCTCGCAGCCTGAGATTTAGAAGGGGAAAATTTCAGGCCGCGAGCAGGCTAGTTATTAAGTTGTTCGGCTCAAATAAATCAAACTATAAAATGACTAAATATCTAGTTAAACGTTCTATTCAAAGTTCAAGCCTTCTAAAGAAGTATCAAATATACCAAACCATGAGGTAGCTACTCTCCCGAAATTTGCCAAGTATAAAAATGTTCCAGATTTTTAAACTCGGGATCGAAAATTCAATCTAAGATGGAGACGAAGTTTGACATAATAATATATTAATATATTAATAGCTATAGGCCTAGTAAGATTAATTATTAACATTGGTGAACAACGATGTTATGCATGGCGGTATAAAATATATCGAACCTACTGGAGTACTGCAGCTCTGATTCATATATATATATATATATATATATATATATATATATATATATATATATATATATATATATATATATATATATATATATATATAGGAATCAGAGCCACCTCATTCATATATCGACTCAGTTCTACTTTATCTACAGTATATGAAATCGAGCCTGAATCTTTAGCATTTCGTGAACCAAACCACTTTCCTGATAATAGACGAGCGAATGGCAACTGTATTGAAAATTAACAAGACAATTTTATTTTATGCTGATGTTTTGGTTTAGCATGGTCAAAAATGCTTGTTTGCATGATTTAAAATATTGATATCGCATGAACATATTGAACATACGATGAAAGATACGATAAAATTTATTTGTACAAATTTTAAATCAAACAGTGGTGCCTTTCTTTCGGAGAACGAAATGGATCGCTTTAGAGATCATGTGCTTATAGAAGTACTTCCTGCACTCGACCTGATGCAGACGATGCAGTATAAACGTACGGCTCGATACGATCTGGAACTTGCTCCTACTATCTCTATTTGCAATTTTATAAAATAGTTGAGAACAATAAGTGACTGCATGAGATCATAGAGAGCTGATTGTGCTCGTCTGTTACTCATCTGTCACTCGGATCTAGATTTAGAATAAGGTCATTTAACATATAACGCTGTGACGCAATTTCATGACCTTTTAACTTGACATTGTCTTGATATTAATTGGTGATATCTTTCGGGCAATGAATTAGCCCAGTAAGCGCTCACGAAGTTACGAAGTTTGTTGTATTGACGTATAAGGTATTGTTTTTTTTCAGCAACAACACGTCTTCTTCAACGTCAGACATGTTCGGTGCACAAGTCGGTACGGAGCAGCTTATTTTGTTGTGTATAGTCATACTTATATCGTTTGGTTGTGTAGACTTGTGTATGGTCACACGAACTGCGCACAATCCCAGCCCTACATAATGACTGTTCTCCGGAAACCGGCTGCTGCGCGTGCTATCCGTTGCAGAGAAATTGCCTTCGATACAGCACGCCCCCACATGTTCCGTTTCAGCATTACGTCATAGCCTATTAAGTTGCATTTCCCCTACCATGTCTAATTTCCCTTCGCCTTGCATTTAAATACAGCAGTTGCAGTGCTTTCTTGCCAGACTTGCAACAACTGAAGCTCAGTCTATTTTAATGCTTACATCCGATCCTTATACGGAAAATATAGATCAAGGTAAGCCAGGGTAAGAATATCATATACCATGTTAAATTCTAATAATTTACAATGATGACTAAGGGTACTAGCTGTAGATAGACATATGTAGTAAAATCATTATATTTCTTAATTTCCCATGTTCATTGGAAACAGCAATTCCTTCGTAAAATCAGGTTAAAAACTCGGGTCTGGGAGTGCGGTGTACGTGAGAGAGATTCCGACTTAACCGAAAAGTACAAGCAGAAAGTCGACGTGCATTGTTAAATCAATTATGAACTTCATCATCAGATGAACTGATGGATAAATTAATTAATAGACCTTTTCGATGAGATGTATTGTATGTGACTATGTGTAGCAGGAGTTCTCACCGAAAAAAACCCGGCTGCGTGCTAAGCAGGCTAGATAACTTAGATAACGTGAGATGACCGCAACATCGCAAATGAGAAACGGTATTTTCAATAATTAATATCATCTATGAGCCTAATCTCAATATCCAAGTACGAAGATGACGAGCATTTATCGCATGATGTATCGACAAATGCGACGATATACTTTATAATTAGTTCACTGATTATAGGGGCTGAGATTCAGCACTTCTACATTTACGCAATTTGCGCGTTGACTGTTAGTGGCCGACGTTGTACAATTTCCAAAATAATTCAACATTAATTCTGCGCAATATATCAAACGCCATGGAATATTCCTGGTTCTGTGTGCTCGTTTACCGATCAATTGTCAGACTGGATATGACATCGTTAAAACATATTCCTCAACGTTATTCATTGAGCTGGTGTACCAAATTATTTCTTTTCTAAACATTTATCGACCATAGATCATTACACTGAGTTTATAGAGAGTTCTATCAATTGTCAATTTTACCGCGACTGGTTTAGTGAAACATAGGTCCGCTGTGGACAAAAAGTGGCACCGGGAAATTTAAAGGCATTGAGCAGATCAAAACATAGATGTGCGCTCTGACCTTTGGAATCGATTTCCGGCATTTCCAGAGTCATAGCGGAAACGTCGCACTGATGACGTTTTAAAATTGTATTTCCGTTTGAGATTAGCTCACAGTCGGGCCAGAAATGAAAATTTTTATATACCGTGATAAAACTAAAAGATACAAATTTGAAGACACAAGCTCGAAAATATAAACACTCCACACAATGTTATTGATAATGATTCGAACAAGAATATTGCAATGAAGATACTAACGTCCAAAAGGGCCGAAGTTATGTTCGGCGAAAGGTAGGACTAGTTTGACTAGTTTATATTTTTGTCTTTTGATCAGACAATTGCGTAATTTGATAATATACGATCTCGCGTGACTTTCAAAGGCCTGTCTTGACTTTCTATGTTACTAGTCACTAAAACTATTGTGAGAATTAGTTGATATTGACAATTGTTTCACTGAATCGTCAATCGAATGGTGATATTAATAAATTATATAGTATGTCTTCATAGGCATAGCATGCACTGAACCGAAGATATGAACATACAATGTCATTCTTCGTATTGTAGTATTGTACTCGTGTTATTGACTAAACTATTTTATAATATAGCATTTGTAAATTCTGAATGCTGATTGGCTAAGAGCCGTGTTGATATAACTCCATGTCAACACGGGAAATTTTCCGCCGCTTGTAAACACGGAAATTTTTCTTATTCTTCGGGCTTTTGACATTGCTATATTATAAAACAAATATAAAACTTTTTTTCGTATTGATATATAGTTATATCAAACTTATCAACACTCGTGGAAGTTGGGAAAACTCGAAATTGTATGAAAACAATCACCCGTGGAAGTTGGGAAAACTCGAAATTGTGTGAAAACACTCCGCCCTTCGGGCGTCGTGTTTCCACACAATTTCTCGTTTTCCCAATTTCCACTCGTGTTGATATAACTGTATATCAACACGGAAAATGTTTTATATTTGTTAATTATTATACTCGTGTTGTTGGCAAAACCATTCATGGACTACAGCGGAACTAACCGTAGATAACCGACTTTAGCTCGCAATTTCTATGCTCGCAATGCATTACATCAATACGTCATCAATACACCATCACCTGTCTGTTTCCAACATCCACGGACGTACATCCTGGCAATGCTTCTACTGATTGAAAATTCGTTGACGGAAATTGTGTGCAATTGTAACCCCAGGACGACTTTTCTTAGTTCATTTCAACTCTTTTGAATTTAATGTGTATGCATGTAAACTGAGTTCAAAATTTTATTGATGCTACTTGATCTCGCTTTATGGCATTTAAGTTTCATGACCCCACTAGGACGCTGTTCCTGGCAAGAACCAATAACAAATTTTGACTAATCGAACCTTTTATTTGTGTATATGTCTTCTTTAGACTCATCATGAAAAATCTTATTGCCATTACCATGCTTGTGATTATATCTGTAATCAGCCGATCGACTGAAGGTAATTCTATATAAGATATATTCTTGGATATCCAGCCGTTTCACGTTTCATCTCGCTTATATTTTTATTATTTTCACATTATGACACGACAATCGCTATCACTGAGTGGCTGCATATTGGTCACTGGAGATGCAACAATCCCTATTTGAGATATAAATAATGTTATTTTTACTAACATTAAACCCGATTTAAACCTGATATGATATTATGGTTGCACCAATTAACACCATGCATATAGGCTAATCAATATATTTACTTCAGTATAGGTAGAGACGGTCAGAGTAAACAAAAATGATAATAAATATTCATAATTTCCATTTGTATGTAGCTTGAAACAGTTGTGGGAGGTTAAATAAGGGCCTCTGTGTGTCAAGCCTTCCTCAGAACGCAGGAAATGCCATTTTATAGAGCCTATAGTATAGTACTATAGATCAAATTTTTCTGAATAGCATATTGGCCTAGACCACCCAAAAGTGTTTCTTAAGGCCCGTTTACACTTGCAATTTTTTCTGCGATTTTAGGTTCTTCTCCTGCAGATGTATGAAATTTTAGGTTCTTCTCCTGCAGATGAGGGCAGTGAACTCCATGTCTTTTATCTGGAACGATAACATGCGGGAGAAACGTGAAGCCAATGCCAACGCCACTTCATGCTAATTATACGCCCGCGTCCTGACGCGCGCTGATTCGTGATAGACCGCGCGGTGATGGCGTATAAAGGGACTGAAACTGACGTACTATATGGCGTGGAAATGACGTGGGGGGCTGACGCCACTGCTCACACGTTGCTCACGCGAGGCTTCACTTTTTAACTGCCAAATGACTGAATGTTATCGTTCGTTATTCGTTCCAGGGGCCGGTTGTTCAAAACTTGGTTAGCTTAACCCTAGGTTAAACCTAAAATTCAATGCAAACTTCCTGACAGCTTGCTAATAAATTTGGAAATATTTCTTCAGAGATCTTGTCTGGATCGATAGGAGTTTTCTTCTCTGAAGTTTTGAAATAAACTAAAACAGCAGGTTAAATAAATACAAAAACTAAAACAGCAGGTTAAATTTTAACCCAGGGTTAGCGCTAACCCAGCTTTGAACAACCGGCCCCAGGTAAATAGATTGAGTTCACTGGATGAGGGTACATATACTCAGAGTATTCATAACTTTTTACTCGTTCACATCCATCAGAAGAAGAAAATCGCAGTAGAAATCAGTCGCAGCAAAAATTGCAAGTGTACACGGGCCTTTATATGGAACATTGAAACAACAAGCTCTTTGTGACGATCTATTTGTGAAGATATTTTCTTTTCATTTCAGCACAATCCTCGTGTGTTGACAAAAGCAGCTTCTGCAGTTCGTCACTGTGTCGTTATACCTGGCATTCAAAAACGTGTGCTAAAACCTGTGGAAAATGTTCAAGTACAGGTAAATACAACTGATCTTGTAAAATCTTAAATTACAGCTGTTTAACCCTTTAGCAACGTACATTTAATAGTTTTTGTTTTTTTCTTATCATTCACCTCCATCCGTTATAACTTTCCCAATCGACTCAAGCTACAGTATAATCAACTCAACAAGTCATTAATAATTCATGAGGAAAAGGCAAGGAAAAATCATGAGCATGTCGTATCTTTATATGTGATAGAGATTTCTCTTGATTTACATAAACTTTAACTTTTATTTTCTCGACTTACACAAGTAACGTATTTTTTGAAAATTACTTCGCCAATGAACTTACTAGATCGATCCTTTTTGAAGAAATTTAAGACATTCGCAGTGCGTGTTTCAGTTATCAGACACAAAGATACTCGGCTTCGCCTCGTATCTTTGTATCTGATAAAACACTCATGCTGCTCATGTTTTAAATGTATAGTACTTCAAATACTGATTATAATCATTCCAACTTTATTTACAGTGTTTCATCTACTTTAAAGAAGCTTCTTGCCACATACCTTCGTGAATACGATGTTTTTTTTTGTGTTGTTTCTTTTTATTAACACAAGTATTTGTCACTTCAGTTCCTTCAGTATTTGTTACTTCAGTTACTTCACTGACGATCTATCTGTGGAGACTGAAGACATTGTCTTTTCATTTCATTTCATTTCATTTCATTTCATTTCATTTCATGCACAATCCTCGTGTGTTGACAAAAGCAGCTTCTGCAGTTCGTCACTGTGTCGTTATACCTGGCATTCAAAAACGTGTGCTAAAACCTGTGGAAAATGTTCAAGTACAGGTAATAGAATCTTGTAAAATCTTGAATTACAGCTGTTTAAGATTATCTTTTTTTACCTATAATTTACTTCCATCCGTTATAACTTTCCGCATCGACTCATGCTACACGGAATAATCAATTCAAATACTGATTATAATCATTCCTGACCAACTTTACTTAGTAACAGTATTTCCTCTATTTTACCCCCAGCTTCTTTTTTCCCTCCCTCTTCTAATTAACTCCCAATCTAGAAACGCTGAGACAAAAATAAGCCCCTGTATACCCTCCATTTAGCCCTATCCTCTATATTTCTAAAATTATTCAGCTGACTATGAACATTATAATATTACAATATAACGTTTTGCCACTGATAATACTGATCATGAGTATACTGCATGCGCATATATCACGTTCATTCGGATGTGGCATCACTAACGGTAAACTGTATAGAAATGTCATGGAAATTTTTTAAAAGAACAAAAAATGTATCTCGTCCAATGTACCAGTGGGGTCTCCATTTAGCCCTCCAGTCCGAGAACAATTAGAAAAAATAATTCAGTTCCCAGGTACGGAGGAAATGCGTAATTTTTTATAATCCAGTATATAGACTCTAATCTCGGAGGAAATGATGATATTATCACTGAGAGTAATATTTCGCCGAATCCTCCGTGTGGAGGGTCTATAAATTATATTTTATACCGAAAATTAAAAGCCTCCAACTTGTGAATATAAAATTGCAATATACCTTCGTGAATACGGTGTTTTATTTTTTGATTAACGCAAATACTTGTCGCTTTTCTTTCGAATCACACATCGTTTGGAATATTGATGATAACATTTTTCAAAATTTGCTTCAAAATTAAAAAAAGAGCTTTCTTTGAAGTTTAAAAACTGAAAGTGCCGCTGTAAGGAAAAAATCATCTCTCCAATTTAGATCTTAGTTAAACATTACTTGGAAATAAGCTAGCACGGCGTTCTTGGTTTTTCAATATCTTGTTTCGTTCTCGAGATATTCAGCTTTTTAAAACAATATGCAAATTAGGTCCAAAGTGACGTCGTCATTTACTCCGGAATATTCAAATGTGTACATGCATTGTTTCCATGGAAACAATACAAAAGTTGACTAATTCACTAAAAAATGTTAATTAAAATTGTGTTTTCCGCCCTATTTGTGAAAAATACGAACATTCAAATGACTGAAACTTGACTGTTGCGCATGTATACGAGTATTCCGTCCAACGTTTTAGTTTAAATAAATCTTGTTTAGCAGTGAAGAAATAATCGTTTTCGCTGTACAAGCAAAACGCACTTGTTGCTTTATGGTTTCCAATCATGATACAAATTTTGAGATGTGAAACACTCTTCGCTATACTAGCACAAAGTTTGAATGAATTGTTTCCGCAACGAAGGAAGATATAGATATTCATCGTTTTCTAAATCTGATTTAATATTCTGGAATAAATGACGTCACTTTGGACCTAATTTGCACGTTTTAAAAAGCTGAATATCTTCAGAACGAAACAAGATATTGAAAAACCAAGAACACCGTGTTAGCTTATTTCGAGGTAATGTTTAACTAATATCTAAATTGGAGAGATGACTTTTTCGACACAGGGGCACTTTAATAATTCATCACTCCCTACAATCAGGAGCAAAAATTATTGAGACAAACGCATAAATGCGTTTGAAATCGATACAGAAAAAGATTCTGAAAATAATATCATTTTTGCCTTATACTTTCTCATCTTCAACCCTTTTTTCAACGCTAGAAATACTAAATATTAATAAGATAAATGCTTTTCAAGTTGGTTTGTTCACATTCGACGCAGTAAAAAATACACTACCACCTCAATTTAGTGGACCTCATATATCTTGAACCTGACATTATCTGACACTATTCTCCTTTGTTATATTAGTTTGTTTTTTAATTTTTTTAGGGTGGACTACTAGAAAAGCCCTGACGGGCTTGTTAGTCTTCCTTCCATATGAATTGTATCTTTATATTTTATCAAAACTGTAACTGTATAATGGAAAAATAAAATATCTATCTATATTCAGTACGTAATAATAGATTGTGATTTTGCGCATGTGCGACCAGATTTGCTTGAACTCATCTCACATAATCCCAAAATCATGGGAGATGGAAGTTTGCAATAAATTCTAGTGCAAGTTTACGATCGATAAGTCCGTTTATCAAGATAAATAAAAAGCTTGAATTGGGTTTAACATTTAGTGAGTATGTCAACCTCACGTAACAATTCAGCTAAAAGTAGGAAAATCATGGAAATTTTTCCAAAATAGGTCTGAACGACGCGTTGTCTGTTATAAAATTCTTGAACTTAAAGAAAATGTTCTGTTTGAGAGAAAAAATATACTCATGATTGTCAGCCATGGGGAAAATTGTCTGAAATTTATTTATTATTTTATAATCTTCTTCCCATGTATATATTCGTCAATTAACCGTCCTTTCCAAACAAAAAATAGCTATAGTTCTCAAGATCACCTATATTTTTTTTACATGAAGTACTCAATTATAGAAAACCGCTGATAAAAAATATTATGTAGCAAAAGGTTCAGTAAGCAAGAAATCCAAGTCAGCTTCTTTCCTGGAGCAATAAGTTGAATCAACATGAACGAATTACGTTTCATTCAAAAGTACAAATAGAGACAATCAGGAGCAAAAATTATTGAGACAAACGCATAAATGCCCCCCTCACCCCCAATTTAATGTTGTGTGGATAATTGAAAAGAGAAAATTCAACCCGCTTTTTCCAACATTGATCATGGGGCCAAAAACGTGAAAAGTCTCATTATTTTTGCCTCTGATTGTAGCTTATTTTTTCGTCCAACTTGTTTGCGTGATCGCCGCGGCGGTTTACACGAATAAATGGAATAATATCAACCGGATAAATATGATCAAATCACCGTGTGATATGATTGAAATCACCCGCTACGTCAAATACTATTTGATGATGAATTTCATAAATTCCTTCCACTGGAATATATATAAAACGTCATGTAGTTGTGATGTAGAACATTGACGAGTTCTTTGTGACGATCTATCTGTGAAGGCATTGTCTTTTCATTTGATTTTATTTGATTTCAGCACAATCCTCGTGTGTTGACAAAAGCAGCTTCTGCAGTTCGTCACTGTGTCGCTATACTTGGCATTCAAAAAAGTGTGCTAAAACCTGTAGAAAATGTTCAAGTACAGGTAATACAAATCTTGAAAAATCTTAAATTACTGTTTACTCTTTTGCAAAGTACATTTAATTATTATTATTTGTTTACTTATCATTCACTTCCATCCGTTATAACTTCAGTCCCCATCGACTCAAACAACAGTATAATCAATTCAAATACTCATTATAATCATTGGAACTTTATTTACAGTATTTCCTCTATTTAACCCCCAGCTTCTTTCTTGCCCCTCCTATTCCAATTTGCTCCCAATCTAGAAACACTGAAACAATAATAAACCCCTACCCTTCGCTTTTATACTGGTCTTTTGCAGCTTATTAACATGTCGTCTTTGCGTGTATTTTTGTCACTCTGAATAAGTCCATATAATAAACAGAACATTAAACGGTTGCGAGAAGATATGGATTGATATTCTCGTGTCAAACATAAAATTCATATCTCCTCACAACAGTCTATTAATATCTCTATTTATTTAAAACTATATAGTAAATACATAAACTGCATATAATTCCATAGCTTGTTTTGTATTTAATTATAGGCGTTGTTGACAACTGCAAGACTTTGGTGACTCGATGTCTTATAAGTAGCGGTTTTGATGCCTGTACTTCACGCAACTGTGTCTTAGGTGTGGCAATAAATTTGGCACAATGTCCAAGAAATTCTCCTTATCGCACCACGATGGGAACATTGATACAGTCATTGTCAAGATCGTGTTCCACAAGTATGCTTCTCAAGAATTTAGGATGAGAAGCTCGGCCCTCTCATGGTATGTACGCGAATCATCCAACTTTATAATATTCTTTAGATTTACGATCACCTATATAGCCTTCGTGTCAAACTAGACTATGAACTGAAACTTTGAAACATCTATAAGCGGCAGTAACTTAAATTCGGCGGGTGCGGAGATAAATTAACCAAATACGTAAAAATGTGTTGGGCAAAAATACATTCAAATCATGTTCAGTGAGAACAAAAAACCTAGAACTAGAACGTCCGGTTCAAGCAATTTGAAAATATTACTAATCTCAATTCTGTAATATACGTCGTTTTCTGACCATCAGAACTCTGTAAAATCGTCCTCCAAAGTGCATGCATGAAGTGATGTTTCAGATATTTCTTCGGGGAGCATGCTCGATGATGCATGCTCCCATAGCCTCAATCTCGCGTAGGGCTCGTACCTATTGCACTTGATACTTCTGGCTTCGCCACATTACCCTCATATACCCACGGGGCCAGGTCGACTACGAAGAACACTGTAGCATATAGGCTTGAGAATAAGGAGGGCACCTTCGTCGCTACCCCTGCAGACGCTCAGACATTTTTCACATTTCCCATTCTTTTATGACCACACCCTTTCAATTTTTTGGGCAACAAGAAACAGACCCCCCCCCCCCGCTGAGAACCTGTAGTAGTATGGTTTTTGAAAGAAATGATATCAACAGCGAGGGTTGAAGTGGTGTCTGGATGAGGGGGAAGTTTGAGGAGAAGACAAAAAGATAATGTGCTTTTAGTCTGTGACTTTAGTTTGCCGATTTAATTGTCGATTGACCAGTCGATAAAAATCGGCATGTACCGAACACGTACGTCAGATCCCAATTATAAATTGATTAGTAATTTCATGATTACCATGTCGTAAAATTATCAGAACATGCGATTACGGCATGGATTTTGACTGATTGAGATAACCGATAAAAATCGGAATACGCAGCTCATGCAATAAATTGATAAGGAACGGTATCAAAACAATTTGATCTAAGGCCTGTTTTATACGTCGAATTTTTGTCGCGTCGAATGCAATTGAGACAATAGATAATGAGATGATAAAACTCATTAAGCTTCATTATCTATTGTTTGAATTGCATTGGACGCGACCAAAATTCGACGTATAAAACAGGCCTAACTGTCCAATTAAAATCGGGCGACTGAAATTGCACGCTGTGCGCCAGGCTTAACAGGCAGGTGGACTTCCTGTTGTAGTTTGGTCCTGTTAACTGATATCTATAACCTAAAATTAATTTGGTATCCTAAATCTTGGCAAATTAGCAACAATGATACAGCTGTATTTTTTGTTTTAGGAAAAGAAATATTTGAAGTGCTAATAGAAAAGATCATATATGTTAAACAGTTGATTGTATAGTTGGTTGAATATCGTTAATGTTAATATTATAGTGGGTTAATCAAAATAAATTGGAAAAGTTCAAAATGTGTGATATCTGGCTGCTTACATGTTGTGTTAACGTTGCTTCCATGTTGTGTTAACGTGGTTTTTCCACTACCGCGCATTAAATGACCGACCAGCTAAACTAGTTTATATCTATATAATTTTCATAAAAAACTACAAAACTTAATTTTAATTAGGACTGCGCATTCTAAGTTTTGAAACTACCCATTTTACATTTAGAACTACCTATTTTGGAAAATGAGAGGCCCAAGCCAGCCGGGATATTGATGGTCCATGGAGGAGCATCATGCCTTATGATTGCGCTCTTGTCAAAAATAGGTACGCTACGCGTACACGAATCTACGAATAGCCAATCGACAACTTTACAAGCACTAGCTAGTCTAGAAAATAATCAGAAACAGGTCATTTATATACCAGTAATTTGCGCTAAAACTGTTCTTCCAGATTAAAATATTTACAATTCTAATTGTAGGACGATACTTAGGTGCACACTTATTATAAACAATAAAAACCGTAGTAAAAACCCACAGTAAGGCCACATAAAAACTGAATAGTTGGTTAACGTCCTCGCCCGCCCACAAAAAAGGCCCGTTCAGGATTTTTTAAAAAAATTTATTTAATTTTTATTTAAAAAAACCCAATTTTTATTGACCAACGGGCTTTAATATATGCAGTATTTCTGTAGTCAATGGTGTTAATAAATTTAAATGCAAGATATTACCTTCCAATGTAGTAAATGTGGCTTCCAATGTAGAAAATATGAATCATATTTTGAAATATCTGTAGTACTGCGGACATAAACCAAGGCGTTAAAAAATAGTATAAATTAAAAACCCCGCCCGCCCACTTTTTGGCAAAAGCTATAAGGATGCTAACCAACTATTTCTTTTATGTGGCCTAACTGCGTCTTATATGCGTGCACAATCCGAAATCGAACGCGTTTTTCTCATGACGTATTCGTACACGCCACTAGAGACTCCTGCCCACTGGCCTATGTAACTCCAATGCTCCTGCCATGAAACACGTTATTATGAAACACGTCAATATAGAATTGACTAATACAGTATTTTCAATTGTTTGTAAATGATATGTTGAAACAGAGACAGGATAAGTACAATATATGGTTAAACGTGAAAAGAGTCAGGTGTAAATACATCACTGTTGCACTTTTATTGCGTGATTGTGAATTTCACTCGAAACCTTAGTGACTTACTTCTTCGCTGGTTCTTACTTTATAATAATTCTGTAGCTCATATTTTACCAAATTTTCCGCCTTGTTAAGTGTCCAGATGACTTCAAATAGGAAAGATGGAGGACGCTTCGAAAACCAATACGTACTATTTCGTAAGCTTGTTGCTAAAAAATGTACAGCAAGCATACTACTACAAAACAAGCACGTAGTTCCAAGATTAATTTACCTTGATTTGCTTCAGTTCATCCACAAGTCATCATATTTCAATGCGTGAAAAAATGTAAACCATAAATTTTAAATTAACTCCTCTTGACCGCCATATTGGATTGTCAGCAGTGATTTGTAATATAATTTAACAAGTTAACAGTGAACAGTGGACAGCTAACACGTCGATAGCATATAATCTACTTCGTAGATTCAGAAAGGGTATTAAAGTAACGATGGTGTGATCTTGTCACAATGGGTAACATATTTGACCGCTCGATAAATGGTAATTTTAATAATTGCGCAATACGTCCATAAAAATAAATTTGCTGACTTTTATATATTTTACATGCGCTCATCGCACAGCAAAATTGTTTTAAAATCATCTCGTTACTGTCGATGTCGCTCACACGCAACTTGCGAATGAGCGAAAAGAGCTTTTCGATTCCCAAACCAAAGGCTTAGAAAACGCACTAGTGAAGTTTTCTGTCACTGTTCCGAAAAGCTGGAACTGCATGCCTGTTCAAATACCATCTAAACTTTCACCTGTATGTCTCCCTCCACTGCTCCAGTAAACTACAGTCGTGGAGAGCTTAAATATGAGTATAAATAAAATGCCAAAGTTGCTATGATTTCTAAAGTAATAATCAGTGTCACTAAGTTGAAACTGATTAAATTAAGTAAGTTGGTTACTTTTGAATTTTTTGTACTTAAATCTCAAGCATGACTATATATCAGTAGCCATTCCAATTCACGCGCATATTGTAGTCGTCGGCTAACATTTTTTTCAGATCGAATGTGAGTCCTGCGAACGAGTCCGCGCTTAAATGCAAAATCCGTTTACACACAAAAATCGAGTTGGCAAAGAAATTACACATATTATAAGCAGCAGCGTATGTAATAATAATTAATTTTTAATACATACAATTATCACTTTTAGTGTTCTACAGCGTGTAAGTGTAGAGAATAAGTCACGCTGGCACAGACTGTTCGAGGTTAGATCTCTGTTTCCAATTACGGTTTCCCTCTTGTATTAGGGAGCGGTCATAAAATATTTACTATGGGGTGTGGAGGATATTTTTGGAGGGTATGAAGAAAACCCAGAACCTCTGAGGGGGGTACGAAAAATGCAACAGAACCTCTAGGGGGTACCAAAATCTTAGTACTATAGGTAGGGAAAATTTACATTTTACATTTGTTGTTGAATATTGAATGTATTTGTGCCAGATTTATTAAGTTTTGGAAAGAAAATTTTACTATAATTATTATTAAATCAACACAAAATATATATGTTTCAGTCTGACTCAATGTCAGATGATAAGTAGGATTCAGTATCGGTGGAAGTTTTGGAGTACAAATCTGGTACATCTGAATTCCCAATGACAATGCTCACACCATTAGAACCTGTTAATGATTTAAGGGGGGGGGGGGGGTATGAAAATTTTCACTTACATTGAATGTGGTTACGAAAATTTTTCCATAGGTTTTTGGGAGGGTATGGAAAAATGTACTTGAAATTCCATTTATCCTCCACCTCCCTCTAGTAATTACTTTATGACCGGTCCCTTAGAATGTAGTCAGATAACTTTATTCTCAGTAGTGCATGGAAATTCTGGCCGAAAGTAAGTGATTTTTTATCTCCGTGTATTTTCCAATCAAACGAACAAAATATAGAAAACTTGAGTTGGTTTATTTTTAGCGGGTAGTGTTAATAGCAAGTTTTTAAACTTAAAAGTTTCACGTTTGCGGGAACGGCAAACGACATAGTAGAATTTTGTTGGCAGAACTTTTGCTTAACTTCTCCGATTCATTTTCTCGTTCTTATCTCAAAAGAATCATCATACATTACACTTACAACCTTAAAATAGCAAGTTGATTTCCCATCCTTTGGCGTAAATTGTTTCTCCCCCTGACGTTTGCCATTTGACGTTTGGACGCGAAGCTTACCAGAAAACTGCGAATTGAGAGGGATTCAACTAAATTACAAGTAAAGCTTCCAAGTAGCATGCATCGAAAAAATACAGTAGATGTGCTTTTATATACTAGAGAATATAAAAGGGATCATGTGACAAAAGTAAACCAATCAGATGGATTTGGTCAAAACAAAATGTAAACAAAAATTATAAATTACATTACAGAATACATTACGACCCATCCTCGGTCCCAGGGCCTCACGGCTGACATTGGGAAAAGAAAGGTGGTAATATCCCTAAAGCCGAAAACGTGTAAACGTAGCACAGTATAGTAAAACTTGGCCTAAACTGAACAGCATTCTCTACGCGTCAGTATTTGCTTATTAGCCATTCCGAAGTTGATGAGAGGATTGGGGGCGAGTGTTAACAACTGCCCAAATTAGGAAATGAACCAAATCACTAAAAAGACCAACTCTCAAAGTATACAAAATTTGAAGACGTTTATATGAATACCCTTCGAATAATAAGCTTTCCAAAATCGCGATATTTACTATGAAATGTACTGTAATTTTTGGTTTTGGGACTGGCGTCCCATAAGCCATCTTTTAATCAGTAATTTCACAATCTTCGAAAGCTTATTATTATTCGAAGGGTATTCATGTAGAGGTTTTCAAACTTTGTTCACTTACTAATTTTGAGGTGGTCTTTTAGTGATTTGGTTCATTTTTTAATTTGGGCACTTTTTAACACTTGTCCCCAGTCCAACTCATCAACTTCGGAATGGCTAATTGTATTCGGAGTATCTAAAATGTTTTCGCAAACTTAATTTGAGCAAAAGAAAGGTATTATATCAACGACTGTCACTAACATGAACGCGGCAAACGTTGATCGCTGATTTTGAAATTGTGTTTAAAACTTTATATGCGTTTTATATTCGAATATATCAACAGCTATACAATTATATTATTTAATATTTTTCGTAGGATCTTAGCGCTGTGCAGTGTGTATAGTCGGAAATAAGTAAACATTTCAGCAGTCAATTAAACAGCTACTGTCATTGAAACCTGTGGAACACATCCAAACGTTCACTGCAGTGCTATCACTAAAAGTGCGACTATCTGGAAAGTTATAACTGGAGGACGATATGAAAGAACAGATCCTAGTAATCCTTATATAACATATTAACGCTCTGATCTTTTTGTTTGCACACACTGATATTGTGCTTTGCATTCTGGCACTCGTCGATGTATCAACCCTTTATTATTTTCTCTGTTTATTTTAACGCGCGCGCGTTAGCTCGCACCAAGCCCGCAAATCGCAGGCTTCCAAACTGAGCTATATATTTCATATGTAATGTTAATATATAACTTCAACAATTAGACCCGGGATGGGCTCCCTGAGGCTATAATCGCTGGCTAACATATCTCCAGTTACTGTATATATAGTGTTACAGCAAGATCAGGAGACTGAGCATTGGCAAATAAGTGCCAATGTATATATAAGAAAGCTTTATCGAACTCTGAGGTTCTTATGTTGGTGGACTATGAAAGGGCAAAACATTTGCACGCGTCCAGTCGATTGATGAGAAATTTAAAAAGTAGCGAATGGCGGTTGTTTCTTGAAAAGTAATCAACTAGCTACTTCGCTACAAAAAAATCTAGCTCTCTATACTGTCAGCTTACAACTACTGTTTTAAATTCGCTCCCATCAGGCAAGACGAACAGCAGTGTTTTATCAGATATAAAGATATGAGGCGAAGCCGAGTATCTTTAGGTCTGATAAAACACGCACGTACTGCGAATGTTTTAAATTGCTTCAAAAACGATCGATCTATACTAAGTTCATTGGCGAAGTAATTTTAAAAAGTGCGTTGTGTAAGTCGAGAAAATCAAAGCTAAAATTTAATAAGTAATATGTAAATCAAGGGAAACTATTGACATAAATGTATTGTTAGAATTTGAATGCCTTAGCACTCTGCTGAACCCACATGGGCATCAAAGCTTGACGTAAGTAAACTTTATTCATTAAACAAACAGTTTAGGAAGCTGCTTTAAATTCCCAAGTGCAGAAAATCGTGCGCTTTACAAAGATAGTTTAATTTCTTAATAAGTATTTTATTACATGCACCCTTGTCAATATTTTACGCATCTTTGCGTTCAGCTTAGTGCTAGGGCATTCAAATTTAAAAAATACGTAATTATTTCAATGGTTTTCCGCCTTTTTTGGGGGGACACCCTGTATAAAGATACGACACGCTTATGATTTTTCTTTGTGTTTTCTTCACGAATTATTAATGAGTTTTTGAAATATACTTAACTGATTCTAACACTAAATTGCACATTTGAACCTGCATGCATATCAACCTCGTTCCCAGGTGCATATATGGAATATTAATATAGTATTTACAAGACTCATAATTTTGTCTCATAATATGATGTTTATTTTCGTCTACGACTAATGTGATGTTTATATTTTCAAAATTCTGTAAACTCAAAACGACCCCAAAAGAGTCGTTCTAGGGTCAAATATGGGGTTATACGTTGTCTTGACTCTATGGAATTTACAGTGCAGTGATATACTTAATACAAATTTGCTGTTGTAACAACCCTCTCGCCATTGAAGCTTAATCTTGAATGAAGTACAGCTAGGTTATCAAGAAATAATACATCACTCTCCTCTAATGAGACTCCAACTGCAGTACTCCACCCCGTACGCCTTACTTTATCCAAGTCATCTGGATCAATGATATCCCCATCCGCGTGAATGGTGTGGGCTGGATATTTCTCATCTGCCAGATCACTTCCCTCGTACATTGGCATCGCTTTAAAGTACGAAGCATGGCAACTATGTACTTGATTGAACCAAAGTTTTTCTTCCGTTAGCGGATAGGTAATAGTTGGCGAGGCATCGCTCCAATACACTAGGGTTTTGCCCTCCCATTTGAACGTATAGCCATTCGCCACCAGGAATTTCTCTGCCTCGTTCTTATCTTCGGTTAGTAAGACTCTCTGCCAAGAGCAGTCTGTGCCTTCGCTTTTGTCCACAAAACATCGCAGATTTCTAAGAATAAATCGGGAACAAATATATAACTAGAAATATATGCATGCATGTTGAATGAATGTTGAATGCCATCCTCGTTCCCAGGGATACTCGGCTGCCTGACGTTGCCACAAGCCGAGGCAGAAGTGATTTGATTGGTCGTTGGAAATTGGATGTTTACATATATTCTGGCAATATGGCTGCCTTAATTTTGCGCATAGAGCGGAAATTTTCTTTGTCTTGTGATTTTTCGGGTGGAACTAATTAGAAAAAACAAAGAAAAATTCCGCTCCGCGCGAAAAATTCCACCTAGTGGAAAACAGGCTTTAAGGAGTGCACGTTCGAATTACGAAGAAATAAAAACGTACAATGCTTGTTTTCTATGGATTAATGGAGATAATTCTCAAATAGAAGGAAAGAAAATAACAAAATGGGCAATGATGAATTAGAAGTAAGCAACAATATCGAACAAACGTCAAATGTGAAGCTATTAAAAAGTTTCTTCATTTAAACATTTTTTGTTAAGTTGTTTAATGTTAAACATTGCGCTCAAGTTGTTTTTTTTTCAAGCACACTGCATGTAAATATAAAATATTTAATATATATTTATGATAGTAATAAAAGTTTTAATGGTGTAATATATTGTGTTTTATTATGCTTTTTGCTATTGGTCACTTGGCGTCTTGGCCTATAAATGCCGAAACGGAATTATAGCATATTGTATAAAGGTGTACTGTATTATAAAGCTATATACTTATGAACTTTCTCAATCAATTGTATTATCAGTGAATAATTTTAATAGCTTCCAAATACAGTGCATAAGCATATTTAATTGCACCAGTCATTTGAACCCCATTTTGGGCATACCAGGGGGAAAGTAAGAACAATCGCCTTCTATTCACTGGTCTATCATTTCCTGGAAACATGGTAGACACTTACTTTCAGTGTCCAAGTCGGTGAATGAGCGAGGTCATGGTAGGAGATTCAGGTATTGTTTTACGTACATGCTGTATATAAATGCTGAAATAAAGAAGTCGGCGGCTATGTAAGAAAGGCTTTTACAGAATAAATAGTAAAGGAATGGTTTGGAAAATTCCAAGTAAAAATTCCAAGTAAAAATTCCAAGTAAAAATTCCAAGTAAAAATTCCAAGTAAAAATTCCAAGTAAAAATTCCAAGTAAAAATTCCAATTGAATACCTGGGGATTCCAGGACCGAAGAAATTTACCTTGCCCTTTTATCCCGGCTGTAGGGGCTTTCACTGAATTTCGTACACCAAATAAGTGAACGCCCCCGGCATGCCTGAGGTGGGGGTCTCAAATTCTTGTGTCATATTGGATGAGACCATATCGTGTGAAGATCATGAGTTTACACTGTTTCCTGTCAACAACACATTTTAGAATACTTATTCTGTTGACTTATTGCAGATCTTGTAAGAATTGAAATTATAAATATGCTATTATAATTATTGACAAAACGGAAACTTTACAACTTTGTATATGTATTTGCAGGCGTCTTGCCATGCGGGAGACACCCTACCACGTCTGTATAGAAATGGATTTTAAACAAACCCTTACAACAATGACCGGTTGCTTTGGACAACCTGAGTGAGTGTTATGAAATTCTGGTTATAAGCCTTTTGCTAGCTGTCTTGAACTGGAAAACTATTTTCATATCTTAATTTTAATGTGGATATGTATAGTAATATATTTATATAAGACTAATATATAATACTAGTAATATAATAATAATAATATAATACGAAACATTATTACTTATACATAGAATTTTAGGGTAAAATATAAAACACAGAAGATGTTTGCTTGAGAGCAGGTGAAATGTTTGTTCAAGCAAATATTACTTTAAGCATAATGAGAAGAGATAATGGATATTTTGCCACAAATCAAAGTAATGTAAATATTTCGGTTCTTCGGAAAACATTCATTATTTCTTCCATTAAGCTATGACAGTTTGTTAGACTAGCTGCCGTTGTGTATGTGACAATGTCATGTTTTGATTGACCTGTTTCCTATGGTTTGTCTTGTGGGCAGATCTGTTTAAACAGGGCAGCTGCCTTGGGTCTCATGAACATTGACCTTTTCACGTGGACAGACTCAGGCGTAAAATATGAGTCATCCCAAGCTAGATAACACTCGGTCATGCAATTAAAATATTACGTCATCAGAATCTTAGTTCAATAAAATTACGAGTAAATTTAGGTTAGTAGGTCAAGTAAGGTTCACATAGGTATAGTTTGAAGTTTTTACTATGATATTTTGATAAGTATTTTAAGTTGTGAACATATTTTAACATTGATCGATTGAACAGCGAACCGACTCGACAAGTGCGACAACGCCTTAAACAAACAGAATGTGAGAGCTGGAACGAGCTAGCAAAGCCAACCCACTTTTCCATAGCTCAACGTTGATTGCCTGGATACAGATCATACCACCTGTTAGATCGCGTGTACAGAGATCCCCTCGACCGTTAGTATAAAAGGACGTGCACAGTGAAAGTCGAGTGGACGTAGACAAAGTAAAACTTAAATGATGAAAAGCTACGAAAACTCAAAACGAAACAGCACGGACAAAGAAGACAGACTAAAGACAACGAAAATTTAAAGGAATGAGTAAACGTTAGTAAAACTACTACAAGAAGAACCTGCATGAACACGAAGGAACAAACCGTATTGAACATTTAAGAACTGTTAGTTATCTAACTTTGATGTAACGATTCACTACCTAAATAATGCCTCGTAACAAGAGAGTAGAAGACTTTACCATGTAAATTGTTGGCGACACGTCCCGATCGTTTCTGGCCCAAATAAAACATTTATGTTCCTTAATTGTTACTACGTTATATACTAAAAATAATGAATATTGTTTATTTTCCGTAACTCGTTTATATCTTTCAAACGTTGGGGCTTAACTGTAACTCTCTATAAGAACAAAATTTTGGACTTTACTCGAGTTAAGCCCCTATTTTTTAGAGGGCTTAACTCGAAGTACCTAAGTCCAGTTCTGTACTTCGAGTTAAGGCCTCAACGGAAAAGGGTGTGACATGGGCGTGGTTTGGGCGTGATCGGAGCTTAACTCGAAAGGGCTTAATGAACTCGAAGGGCTTAACTCGAAGGACTTAACTCGAAGATTTGCTACCTCGTCCTGTTTTACTTCTTGTTCTTTATTGCATAAAGACAAAATACTTGAAAAATAGCGACAGATCCTACAATCAGGAGCAAAAATTATTGAGACAACCGTCTAAATGCCCCCATCACCCCCAATTCAATGTTGTATGGATGACTGAAAAGAGAAAATTCAACCCACTCTTTTATCATTGAATAATCTATAGTAAAATATATAGAAATATGACACGTTACACCAATTGTTTTTGAAAATAAATAAATAAATAAATAAATAAATAAATATATATATATATATATATATATATATATATATATATGTGTGTGTTACGTGTCGCATCTCTATATGTTTTACTACAGATTATCAGGTAACGTGTGGTGTAACGTGTGGTGTAACGTGTGGTGTAACGTGTGTGTAACGTGTCTATATAATCAGTACGTACACAATCAGGAGAAAAAAGTATTGAGACAACCGCATAAATGCCCCCCTCACCCCCAATTCAATGTTGTGTGGATGACTGAAAAGAGAAAATTCAACCCACTTTTTCCTACATTGATCATGGGGGCAGGGGGGAGACCGACATACTTTAAAATGGCCAAAAATGTTAACGGCTAAAAATATTTTTGCACGCTATTGTAGTCTCGGCCGTCGCTACAACACGCTAGGTTCTGCGACTTTAATCGCCACAATAACCCCTTTTAAGAGGCAGTCCGTGTAAAAACCGACCATCAAATTTCTTAAAATTACAGATTTCCTTCAAACTTTCTGTGTGGAAGAAGTCATTCATAAAACTAGAAATACATGCATGCAATAACCCCTCGCCTGTTTTCAAAAGATGTATACTCAGTGCCGTTGCGAGCACTTCGTCTCAGGGGGTGTGTGAGGTTAGATAGAATGGGGGGGGGGTTACCAAAATGTTTCCAGATGTCCAAAAAGTTTCAGGACATATAATAATTTTTCCGAAAATACAGTTATTTTCCTAATTTACTTTCTCATGTCCTGAGATTTACCTGAATTCCCCTGAAAATCTTCTGCAAATCTACTTAAATTTACCTAAAAGTGCACTGGAAATCTACCTGAAATTCCTCATGAACCCAATTATTAGGTGTGTTGCACCCCCCCCCCCCAGTTAGTTGCAAGTAAACACTCTCTGATTTATTGTTCATGTATTTCACCTCCCAAAATATGGGGCATCATACACTAGAGCATTCTGCTGTTGTCATGCTCTAGCGTGGTTCAAATTTATGAATTTTTATTATATAAAGTATAATGTTTTATAGAGATTTCGAGCACTGATAAAAATGATAATCTCACATGTGAAATTATTCATGATAATCTCACATGTGAAAATTATCGCTTTTCAATTAAAGCCTTTGTGTAAAAATTATCGCTTTTCAAAGACTGTCCTTTATATAATAAACAGAAAAATACATGGCGGTTGGAAATATAGCAAACATAACATCCCTAACAAAAACAAAATATTATATAACTGGTGAACTGGATACAAAATACAGCAGAAAAGTAAACAATTTTAAAATAACCGTCCAAAATGTCAGGTTCAAGCATGTAAAGCATGGACGCTTGAAAGAATTTATTTGCGCATGCCCTGAATTATAAAAATTAGGGTAAGATGAAGTTTACACTATTCGAACTCAATGATTCTTAGATACGAGTAATGTCCAATACAGGCATCGATATCTGATGTCTGATGGTGAAGATGGTGCATGATGGTCGAAGTGTGTCAGATGGTTGTCAGATGGTGTATGATGGTGTAAGGTGGTTGTACAGGGAAGGGTTGTCAGATGGTGTATGATGGTATATGATGGTCAAAGTGTGTCAGATGGTTGTCAGATGGTGTATGATGATGTAGGGTGATTATACAGGGAAGGTTTGTCAGATGAAGATTGTGTATGATGGTCGAAGTTGTTGCTATATTTTATTATTACTTACATATACTGTGGCCAACTATAACTATGTATATAAAAAGATAATATTATATCTCACATTACGGTTCACATGTGGGAAACGTAATTCAAAGTATTTGACAGAATATATTTAAACACATTTGACAGACATGTTCGAGGTAATAAATAACAATATAATATGAATATATTATATCTCACATTACGGTTCTCATGTGGGAAACGTAATTCAAAGTATTTGGCTAAATATATTTAAATGCATTTGACAGACATGTTCGAGGTAATAAATAAAAATATAATATGAATATACTTCACCACCTGACAACCGATGGTTATATCTATATTGGACATATATGTTAGATACCGCTGACCATATGTGAAACAAAATCCCGCGGGTTTATCCCGGGGGTTAACAGTGCCTGTTACCAAACCCAAACAATTCCCCTTCCCCGAGTGACACTATTTTTTACAAAAGACAACGAATCCCCTCCTGTTCCCGGGAGTTCCCCCTGGGGTGTCCCAGGGGTCGACCCCCGGGGAAGCCGATGATAAGTGCATAAGGTTCAAGTGGATATGCGCAACCCTCGGGATGTGCTTTACAGGAAAATGGCTGGGCGAGGGGATGGGCACACTTGGATTTGGCTGATGCATTAAAAGTCATGGAAAAAGAAACTGACTTTTCATATTGCTACTATAAAATGGCTTATTGTGCTTATTCCTGTGCTTATTCCAGACTGCTTGTCAAATATTTATGCATGAGTCAATTCCAGGAGTAACCCCCCCTCCCCCCCGCCCCCCGGGAACACACCCGGGCATTTGATTTGATTGGTTATGATAGTGTAAATGTTATTTCCTACAAATTTAGCTTTATTGTAGCTTTAGTAAAGGTATAAAAAAACCTGGAAACGGTGAATTACTATAGATCGAAAATAATTATTAAACTATGATTGAAATTATCGACGTATAGTATATAAATAGTAATACATTTGACATCCGTAAGTACAATTTCTTATGCTGAATCGAACGGTGGTATTTTTATCCTTATTGCGCCATTAGACATTACAAATACAAAGACAAACGTAGTGCGAGTGATTTGTTATAAATAACAATACATACTGCGAGCGATTTGTCAATACAATTTCGCTTGATTTTCAAAGGCCATAAATCGCTAGAATACTGGTGTTCAGTAATACACTTGACATCCGTAAGTACAATTTCTTTATACGCTGAATCGTACGGTCTCGCTTTCTTCTCAAAATATAGGAATTGGTTTATAAATCATAGTGAGCATGTGTAATGTGATAGCTAAATTCACTGAGCTATAATATTACAGTAATATTATTATAGCTCAGGGGCTAAATTGCGCAATCCTGAGCCCACGATGCCACAATGGAAAGTCACACTTGCGACAACAAAAAAAAAAACGAAAAAATTCCTCGCATTCCAGCGAGGGCAAATTATGACAATTAATAACAAAACCAACAAAACCATGGTAGACCTACCGAATGCCTTTCCGTTCAAATTTCGCCTTTAGATCAGCATCTAAATTCGCAGTCAGCTCTCGGCCACTACATATACCTGTCTCGCCTCCAAATTTCGACTTTTTTAAACACGTTATAACGAATTTGGTTGGGAAAACTGTGCTATACGACATATCATTGTGCAACTCGACCGAGTACTCAGGGGCATCGAGAGCCCCGCTTAATACAAAGTCGTCGACTTGTTTGCGAATCCCGCTGCCTCCTTTGTACGAAAAGAACTCGAAACCCAATCCTTCTATGAAACGAGAGGAATCATTGCTGGTTTTAATAGGTAAGCCACGAATAAGAACAGCAACCGGCGCGCCACCATTTCGAAAATTTTCGTACAGTCCTGGAAGCTGCTCCTTGAAACATTCGGACCAAAATTGAATGCCCTTTCTGTCCAATTCGCCGTTGTTTCTTGCTTTCAAAACGAGAGGAAAGCCTTCCTTAGGACTAGAGAGTTGCTCAGGGAAGCCAGAAGCGAACGAGCCAGGGAGATATTTACGTCCCGCAAGCTGTACCGGTCGTGAAAGTTGGATGTCTTCTGCAGAGCCTTGAATAAAGTAGCGCGAATCCACGGAGATGGAGCGAGTTATGCTGCTAAGTGGATTGAAAACAAGGCGGTAGAAGTTTTGAAATATTCCTGCTTTGGATGCAACCGAGGATGGAACGCGAAAAGCCATTGCTCAACAAATGATGTGCCTGTGTCAATGTAGAATACTTACTGTTATGCAACCTCGCGTACCCGTGCTCTTACCTTCGCACGCCCTCCAGCTGCAATCTCGTTCCCCGAGCCTGCCCGTTCGCAGGTTAAGGGTGGGCACAACTCTGGAGAAATCGAAATTCAGGCCTGTGATTGGCTAGCGGCAGATAGTATGTTGATTCCAACGTGAGTTCTGCGCATGCTTGGCAAAATATAAACAAATTATTTAAAATTTCTCGTCAAAAATTTGATACTTTTTACACTGAAATCGATTGAAAACAACTAAAAATTATGGGAGAATTATGTACGAAAGCTTCGAATTGATAGAGTTACAACTACTTGAAAAATACAAGGAGAACTTCGACGTTTCGAGCGAAGGTGCTTCGACTTGTACTGTTATAGTGTTTGTATACATCCTACTTGACCTTAATACTGATTAACATAATCTCTTCAAGAATGAGATTGTTTGCTGTGATTGGTTGTCAGGCTATCTGCCATAAAACTGAATGGTCGAAAATTGGGAAGTCCGAGGAACTGAAGTTTGTAGATTATATGAATTTAAAACGTCTTCTTAAACGGTTTCTTTATGCATAAAATCTACTTACGTCAAGCTTTGATGCACGTGTGGGTTCAGCAGAGTGCAGAGGTATTCAAATTCTAACAATACGTTATTTCAATAGTGGGGACACTCTGTAGATCCGTTCTTACGCAAAATACAAAATGGCTTACTATGTATTGTTGAAACTGTCAATTTGTTGTTTCGTTATTATTTGAAAGTATCAATGATCTTGGGTCTGCATGAAATGCGAGACATGCGAGGCACCAAAAACGTGCGAATCACACATCAATACAGCAGCGAGCCGCGCCATGCATATTCCGCAGAAACGTTAATTTCTATATTAATTAGATCAAATATATTTGTACGAGTATGTTATATTGTATGTTTTCTGTTTAATTTATAAGGTACGGAATAAATGTTGAAGATAGCCATATCTTTACATGTACAGTATCAAAATCGACAATGCTTAGTAAGAATTAAACATTTTTATGAATACGGCAAGCACACTGCAGCTACTATAGGCTAAATTCAACGAAATCGAATCAAAGTTTAGTTATTCGGGATAGCTTTATTTATTGTAGACTGCATGTTCTCACAGAGGTCTATAGTGGTCCATTGTAACGATATACCGGACGAAACTTAAACTGGACTCAATTTGTTTATACTAGAGGATACTAATTTGTTTAGTTCAGATCTTGTATTTGTCCTTACTTACTCATTAACACTGATATTCTTGCAAAATATACTTAATTCTTCGTTGTCAACATTTGTGATATCATTTTGTTTTGGAATTCCATCTGCAAATATTAGTCAGTGATTAACCTGTTTTGTCGAGGTCCAGTGTAAGAAGACACTAAACTAGATTACTTCACTGATTTAATATTCACTCATGCAGTGTATAAGTTTCAATTTCGCAGCCAAAGGCTTGCATGATTGCATGCCGGAAATATATTTGTTTGGTATTTGTGGAAACATCACGTTTATTTTGTATTACTAGCTTTCGATATATATATATATAAGACTGCATGGATCTTCACCAATGTGTAGGCTAAATTATTATAGCACCAACGATCTTGGGTCGAAAGCTTCGCCAAAGCCGAGACAAAGAAATTAACGTGTCCACCGAAACCAAACCAAAGAAGCCAATTATATTTATTTTTACCATGCAAAAGCACAATACTTTAATTATTGAGAAAAATCGCCACAAAATGCTTGAAAACGTGACTATATCTTTCTATCTCTAAATTATGGCGGCAAATAAACTAATATTTCGAAACTCTTTAAATCTTTATTTAGCTTTGGCGTAATTGCCTCAAGGTAATTGCATCAATGTTGGCGTAATTGCCTCTAGTACAATGTCTTGTCTTCAGCTGTGATATTTGCCCATGGGCATGGCCATGAAAACAGTAGAGTTTACTGCAATGGCAACGCCAAATTGACCATTTGCGTAATAGACTAAATTTTGATCTCAACAAAAATTTCATTGCAGCTTGAAAGAGCATCACAAAATTAGTAATATTCCAAAGTTTCGTTGCGAAATGTTGTAAAATGCGGATAACATAGCCTTGCGAAGTTTGCAATTTTCAGTCATTTTAGATTACAAACGGAAAATTGACAGCCCCAAAGGGTATTGGGCTGTCAATTTCCCGTTTGTAATCTAAAATGACTGAAAATTGCAAACTTTGCAAGGCTATATTATCCGAATTGTACAACATTTCGCAACGAAACTTTGGAATATTACTAATTTTGTGATGCTCTTTCAAGCTGTGATGAAATTTTTGTCTAGATCAAAATTTAGTCTATTACGCAAGTGTTCAATTCAAGTCAGCGTTTTAGGCAGAAAGAGCATGTAAAACTGTAAAATAAGTTCACTGGACAACTTTTCTAGCTTATCTTTTTTCGTTCTGGAGCTAAGGAAGTAAATATTAGTATACGGTCTATATACTAGTATAAGGTAGTATAATCTCGTCAAAAGTTAAAAATGACGAAATATTTCAAACCATGTACAGCTAATTCAAAAAGGTTTTCCTTAAACCTTAAACTCTAAGCGTGCAAAGCATAACGGGAACAGTTATGCTTAATCAGTTTAGAGACATGGTAAATATCTCCTTACGAGAACAATTTATTCAAAAATAGCTGCAATATTCAACTACTAAGCTTGAAACTTGTGCTCTCATTAAGCTTTGCGAAACTTGAAACTTTGCACTCACTTGCGCTTAGACTTTAAGGCTTAAAGTGCCTATGCAACGAAATTTTCACCTCATTTTTTATTGTTTTTCTAAAAAGTACTACTGGAGTGATGAAGAATGACGTTTACAGTTTCGTCATATCTCATCTCATTCTCAAGTTATCGCACTTTGTATATTTTGAGTTGTGACGTCACAAGTATGAGTTGAGATAATGGCAATAACAAGAAAGTATGATATCTTGGTGAGTATTTAATACAATTTAATGAAACTTGGTACACTTAGTGGGTGCAACAAAGTCAACCATTTGACTTGTTTATACGGTTGTTACGGCAACACACTCGTCCCCAGTCCCTTCTCTTCCAATTTATATATGATCCATTTTCAACGAAATAAATAGCAATTTCTACAATTTTCGCTTACTACTATAATACGTGTAGGTATTGTGATCAGTTTATACAGTTAAAATATGTAAACATCCTCTGCAAGAGGTCTACGGGAGGAAAGTTGTGAAAGGAAGAGAAGAGACTGGGGACTAGTGTGTTGCCATGACAACCACATGACCTACCCAAAATATTCATATGAGTGCATCCACTAAGTGTACCAAGTTTCATTTAATTTTATTAAATACTCACCAAGATATCATACTTTCTTGTTATTGCCATTATCTCAACTCATACTTGTGACGTCACAACTCAAAATATAGAAAGTGCGATAACTTGAGAATGAGATGAGATATGACGAAACTGTAAACGTCATTCTTCATCACTCCAGCAGTGCTTTTTAGAAAAACAATAAAAGATGAGGTGAAAAATTCGTTGCATAGGCACTTTAAGGTTTAGAGCTTACTTAATTAAGGTCTTTCAAAGGACAACCTTTTTTTAATTGTTGATTCTTTTCATCAACATTATGCAGAAAGTTATGCAGCAAGCATGAGCTCTTGGTTTAGTAAAGTTGGTTTATATAGTTAAAGCTTCTTCATGTAGCTATGTAACACACTCGACCAATGAAAGATAGTCCTTACTGGACCTTTAGGGAGAAGAGTTTAGAACTGACAATATATATACAGGCTAAAGTTCCTATAGCTTAATGTGTACTTACGTCGTAAAAGGCTTAAGTATATTTTTTTATAATAAATAGCTGAAGTATTTTGTTTTTAATTTTCTTTGTTCAGAGAAAGGGCGGAAAAACCTTTCAATTCCTACAGACAAAATGTCTGTACTCCCCACAAGCTTACAATAATAGTTAATTATAGCTACGTGCAGTATTGAAATTCTTCAGAGAGATATTGTGTTCTATATTTGGGTCTGCAACTTAATTGCGAGGCGCCTAACAAGATTCCAGAATATATGTCACGCAGTTAAATGTTTCTCAACGAAAATCCGCCATCTATGTCCTCTTGTCGACCGTTGCGAAGTTTCTAGCCGATAAACTTTTACTGTATAAGGTAAAGGAGACACAAAATAGGACGGTTTTCGAAGCGACCAACCCCCTATAATAGACCCCCAATAAAGTATTTTTAATTGTTCGTAAATGATATGTAGAAACAAAGACAGAATAAGCTAGTACAATATCACTGTTGCACTTTTATTGTGTGATTGTGTCTACATTGAGTGAAATAATATTAATTCGACATAGGCGGAGACTTCATATCGGATCGTATTAATCAACCGACAATCCTATTTCCCACGCACCGTCATCCAGGGCCGTAGCGAGGGGGGTAATGGGGGTAGTTAACCCCCCGCCCCTCCCCCAACTTTTGTAGAATTAACATATTCGGAAAATCGGGTTGGCCATTCGGAAAATTACGGCAATAATAGTATAACAAAATTTTAGTTGAAGAAAAAATATAATATAATTGTATTGCGAGTATATAAACTGATTTACGAAATCATGGCATTTACATGGATAACATTTAACAAATCGTAAATCAGTAAATGTTTTTCGGTTTATTACTTCTCAGGGCCGTAGCAACCGGGGTGGGGTCTGGCTGCAGCCCTCCCAATAATTTGCTAACAATCATTCTTTTTTCAAAATCATGCAAACCTTTATGATTTAAATAATATACCTTTAAAATACTGACTATTTAGTTTTAAGCCGCTACATAACCATGACAAACTGCAAATAATCATATTACCAATACTTTTCTGCAACTTCCCCCAAAATATAGGTTAATTAAATACGCCTTCGCCCATTTGGTACTACTATAAATTGTAAGCAAATTGTAAATTTCGACATACTAAAACGCTGCAGAATTCTGTCAAAACTTCCCCCCAAAGTCCACGAAATGCCATTTAAGAGACTCTAAATTTAAAAATTTCCTCGGCCCTTCGGCCCTCGTTCTCAGCCCTCCAATAAAA